CATCAGTCACTGCACAGAGGAGCTTACACTCTAATGTCCCCCTTGCCTGTAGGGTGAATCTCCAGGCTCCGGATGACCGGTGACATCGGTGCGGCACATTGTCTCGGTGTTCGGTACGTTGTGCCGGTTTCCGGTGTGACGCTTTGCTCAGTTTGCTCTCTGATTTGTTTCAGGCTCCAACACCTGGCTGGTTCCGGAGACGCGCGGCGCCATCGTCCAGGGAGGTTACGGCCACACCAGCGTCTACGACCCGATAACGAAGTCTGCGTATGTGCACGGAGGGTACAAGGCCCTGCCGGGGAACAAGTACGGCCTGGTGGATGACTTGTACCGGTACGAGGTGAACGCCCGGACATGGTGAGTGCTGCCGGAATGTCATGCCGGGGACGGGGACCGGGAATAACATTATCGTTTCTCAGGTGGAATTTCCTGTTTTTATTGTAAAATTTATATCAAGATGAAATATTTTTGGGATGGAGCGGGAAAGGATTAGACCTCCTGTCAGGTCCTTACTGCTCCTCGGGACTCCAGTAGGGAGATTTCCCCTCACTTCCTGTCCTGCTGACAACACAACAAACCACAACAGATTTTCAGCAATGTATCTTTATTTCTTTTGTTACATTCTCGGGAACGGCCATTGTTAGACGGTCAATGTAGGAAGACGTCATGATAATAATGTTGCAGCTTAATAATTTGAAGCTGTTGTCACCTTGTGACCCATAATGGCAATGTGAAGCATTTCCTCAGTCTCCCCTCCCCCAGTGATCAGTCTGCTGCAGGCAGGAGGAAGCATTCCCTCAGTCTCCCCTCCCCCAGTGACCAGACTGCTCAGTCTCCCCTCCCCCAGTGATCAGTCTGCTGCAGGCAGGAGGAAGCATTTCCTCAGTCTCCCCTCCACCATTGATCAGTCTGCTGCAGGCCGGAGGAAGCATTTCCTCAGTCTCCCCTCCCCCAGTGATCAGTCTGCTGCAGGCAGGAGGAATCTTTTCCTCAGTCTCCCCTCCCCCAGTGATCAGTCTGCAGGCAGGAGGAAGCATTTCCTCAGTCTCCCCTCCCCCAGTGATCAG